AATAGAGATTCTTTAAATTAGACTAAAAATAAGAAAGGCTTTGACAAGCATAAAGAAGCTTTTATTCTTACATCCATATATGCTATCAAATTAAGAGCTATATGACAATGTTTTATAGGACCTCTAATATGTATCTAATTTGTGAGATACATGTCTAATTTATAAGATAAGTTTCTTACATATGTGCTATATGATTAACTTGTACCACAAGCTACCAACATGTGCAATACATGACTAAGTTTTCAATCTATCAATTAATTATAAATATATATGAAATCAAATCTCTATCTATAAGACTTCCAAAAAATGTTTCTACAAGATACTATCAAATCTATCTACATTTATCTTCTATCTGATATTTTTTATTTAGGCATCTATGTATGTCCATCATATTCACATCACAAGTAAGGTTATAGAATTCAATAGTACATGTGGTAGTTGATTGAGATCTTTGTTGTAAAAATAGGAATTTTTTTATTACTATTTTTATTATTTTCTTCAAATACAATCATAAGTATTTTTAAGAATAAATTTAGATTATATATGAATTATGAATTTTTTCCTATTAAAAGTAAAATCCAAAAAATAGCACTTTAAAATAGAAGTGTATCTATGAATCTAATTAAAAAAATCCATCAAGATATTGGAAAGGATCTAATTTTAAATAGTGCTTGACTTGTTATAAAAATCTATAAAATTTTGATCTTGTTCTATTAAAATTTTTAAGCATATTAATCCTTATTTCTTTTATATTTGTTGTAGCAAGACTTTTTAAATTCAATTGTGAGATTGATCTACTTGATTAAAATTAGAGTGACTATTATCAAGTACAAACAAACAAGATGTTTTTAAAATACTAAGAAGAAGAAAGGCATTAACAAGAGTGAAAAAGGCTTCACTCTTGCGTCTATATATACTATCTAATTAAAAGGTGCATGACAATCTTCTATAAGGCCTCTAACACATGTCTAACTGCTTGAAAAAATCTCTAACTTGTAAAAGAAGTTTTCAACATGTGCGCCATATGGCCAACTTTTATTATAAGTCACTAATATATGCAACATGTGACAAATTTCTTGAATAAGTTTTCAATCAAACAATCAACTTTGAATATATATAAATTCAAATCTAACACATATCAATCTTTTATTCTCTTACCATAGAATGTTTCCAAAGAATTTTTAGAAGAAAAAATTCTTTTTTCTTTTAAAAAGATATTGTATTTCTAGTTCTTTTGTGGAATGTTGTGAATATTTCTCTTTGGTTTATTCTCTTCTTTTGAGGTTTCTTGATAAAGTTATACTTTTTAGTATTTTTTTCATAAGATACACATATAATAAATTAAATTTTGTAACCAACTTTTTAAACTTTTGGAGGTTATATTTATATTTGATCATATTACAAATTAAATTCTTCAATTTATTAGTCATAAAAAGTTTAACTATGGTGTCAATTCTATGTTTATTAATATTATTCATTGTTAGATTTTGTATAAGATATTATTAATTTCACTATAGTTTTTGCTACTACCACCATAACCTACCATCCATTCAACACAAAATTCTTCATAATCTTGTACACTCCTTTCAAATGCTCTTCTTGTACATTCCTCTTATATGCAATGTGTCCATTGTTCTCTCAACTTTTTGTACAACATTTCTTTCTTATGGAGCTTAATATCACTAGTACCTTTAAAAACTATGATATTTTAATTTCCTACAAGTAAAAGACATATCTAATTGCAGATTATGCAATTGTAATAAAATATTTTAATAATTAACATATACACAATAAATACAAAAACTAACAATTTAAACAAATCTTTTGTAGAAAAAAAAAGAGAAGAAAGAAAAACTTGTTTATGACCATTAATGTAATAATAATGTATCATGTCATTATTTTTAATCTATATTAAAAAAAACATGCTACTTATTAATTTCAATTAATATATGCCAATGTATCCTTTGTTATTAGTATCTATTAAATAAGAATTATAGATTTTTTTAATAATTTATATTATAACTAACTATTTTTAATTTTTATAATACATAGAAGATTATAACTTTTCTTACATTCTTTCTTACTTTACATTTTGTTTGGTCTACTCATACCTATAATAAAATAAAAATAAATAAACTAAGTCTTAAAGATGGATCTACTTGGTAAATTACTTACTAATTTGACCACCAATTTGACTACCAATCTAAAATAATTTCTTTTAGTATAACAATAATTCAATGATAAGATATTTATAGTTAAAAAACTTATTTTTGTATCACTACTTTATTTGAAACACTATTACACTTAAACATATTCCTACTCATTTTAATAAATTACCAATTACTTAAATGATTTAAACAACATTATACTTAATAGTTACAACTTTTATAATTTTAAATTTATGTTTCAAATAGACTAATAAGAAGATTTTTATAAGAAGTGAACCACATGTTTAGACTAGTTTCAATTGTGTTTTTGATCATTAAAATTTTATATTTGAAATTGGTTAATAATCTCTAAAATTAAAATACTAAAGCAAAGCCATGTCAATGAAGCTTCTAAGAAACTTATCTATAAGATATTATCAAATTTATCTATTTTTTTTTTTTTTTTTTTTTTTTACTTCTATCTACTCATATTATCTAAATAATTATTAGAATAAATATGGATGTCTGTGATAGGATGCCTTAGTAATCAAATCTAAAGAAAATTTCAAAAATATAGTAATTCGAGCAAAATCATGCTGATATTTGTTCAAAATTTCAAAAAGACCTTACAACATATCATCTCTTTTTAAATTGTAGATCTCTTCCACAAAAATATAAAATCTTTAAACATAGCATCAATCAATTGTAACTATTACAATTCTAACATAATGTGTAAGAATCATAGCTAAAAATATTGAACTATGAACCAACAATGATCAAAATTTAAAATGCAATAACATCTATGTAATTTTAAATTAAATGATATTCTTCAAAAGAACAGAAGCAATATATTGAAGAATCATACATAAAGAATCAAACACAATGTATGCACAATAATTATATAATATTATTTGACTTTAATAAAATAAATTAAGAAATAAAGTATGCATTTTGAATAAATTCACATATTTAAAAGAAAACATTACAAAGAAGCATGCAAATCCTTTAAGAATTGTGAAGAATAAAAATAATATAAACATTATCTTAGAAACAAATATTGAAGCCATTTATTTGCAATCGATTTCAAATGACAAGAAATAAGAGTGACTATAGATCTCCAAGTTGGCCTTTAAATGGAGGCAAATTTATATTCTACATACATATACATAAGTATTCTTTGTGCTTTGTAGAGGAATAGTGAATGGAAAATAGAAATCAAGGAATAAAGAACAAGAAATAAGAATAACTAGGTAAAGATTTCTTTTGGCTATACACTTGCACATATGCTTTGATATGTGGATTAGATCTTGAATCAAGTGGTATTTTGTTGATTTCGACAATCTAATACAATTAAACGCCACCAATATGAATTTTACTCATTTTGGAGTACCTTCACACGTCAATCTTTGGGTGACTCTCTCACCAAAAAATGTTTTCAAAGAATTTTTGGAGGAAAAAAATTCTTTTCTCTTCCAAAAAGTTATTGTACTCTTAGCTCCTTTGTAACATTTTGTGAATATTTCTTTTTGGTCTATTCTCTTCTTTTGATGTTTTTTAATAAAGTTATATTTTTTAGTATTTTTAGTATGTATGTATATATATATATATATATATATATTTTCATAAGATACATGTGTGATAAATTAAATGTTGTAACAAACTTGTTAAACTTTTGGATGTCATATATTGTTGTTTACATAACATTCAAAAAATCTATTATCATTTTTCTCATTCTATCATTGATACAAAAGTTATCATATTTGACAAATATTTTAATTTAAGAATGTTTTAATTTAAGGATGTGCTAAGGAGGCTATTGCTAGATATCTATTCTTTATATCCTCAAATGTTTTGACCTCTTTTGTTATTAGAGCAATGTAAGATGTAGCTTTTACGTGCAAAACATGTGTATTTGTCTATTATTCACTAAACTACAATAAAGTACTTGATCATATTAGAATGATTCTAATTACAAATATTATAAAATGTGATCCTTCTATAATAATCTAAATGTGATGATGTGGGTTATATTGATTTTAGACTTGACATCAAACATTCATTAATAAAACTGAAATTATAAAACTAACACTAGTCTCTAAGATTATCACATGTAATTGGAACTTGACCAACTCCCATCAGCTACCAAGCTTGATGTTGGATTATGAAAGGGTGAATAAATCACAATGAACTACTAATGGATGAATGCATAAATGAGCTAAAAGAGTCCTTTTCCATGGGGGGAATAAAAATGAGAGATACAAAAGAAGTAATAGATTGTGTGGAAAGGGAAGCAGCCCCTTCTTCTTAAAAGAAGAATGTTACCATGATGGCTTGGTCGGGGATAGAGGTGGGGGGGGGGAGGAGGAAGGAGCAGAAAGAAAGGTTGGATGCGGTGGAAGGGGGAGTGGGGGGGTTCCGACACATGGCGATGCACATGGGGATCGGGGGGCGTTGAGGTGGTCGGCTGCGACGCCCCCAAGGCCGGATTTGGACCCGCTTGACGCACCGACTGGCAGTGCGAACCGGATTTTGGCCATTGTGGCCTGTTTTCGTCTATTCTGGACACTAGACCCGGACTTCACCCCTTCCTTCCTTGTCTTGATTTTCTCAAGGTACGCCCGGGCCTGGTCAGAGCTTAGGGACGGACGGAGGCCAGAAGAAGAAGAGTCTGGAAGCCCCTGGAACTCCCCCAGCGCTCGCGGGTGCCCGGTGGAGGGCCGGGTCTGGGGGGTGAGTCATTGGGTCCGGAACCCTCTAGAAGTTGCTGGAACGCGCTCGAACCCGGCGAACCTTCAGCTGCGAGCAGCCAACTGTTGATTCGGCCGATATCGTCAGCCTAGAAAACTCAAGCCTCGCTGCTCGCTCTCGCCAATTGATACTTAGATTTGTCTCAGCATCGCGGCTCTGAACTTGCGAGCGTCCGTCTCCGTCTCTCTAGCTACCAGTGCCCTTTAGGTGTTAGATTTGGTTTCCTTTTTCTAGCGTGTTGCTGTTGCGTTCGAGGGGAGTTTTCTAGTGAGCGTCGCCATGGCTGGTAAGGGCGAAGGTCCTGCTATCGGCATTGACTTGGGCACTACCTACAGTTGCGTGGGAGTATGGCAGCATGATCGCGTTGAGATTATTGCCAACGACCAGGGTAACAGGACTACCCCGAGTTATGTTGCATTCACGGATACCGAGCGACTTATCGGAGATGCCGCCAAGAATCAGGTGGCCATGAATCCCACCAACACCGTCTTTGGTACGTTTCGCGTTTCTCTGCCACCTTTTCTGCGTTTGAATGCATGAGGTTTTGTTTCATTTTTTTTCCTGTTGTGGTCTGCGATGGTGCGCGGCCAACTCAGTTCGGGTACTGTTCCTCAATTGTATTACGTTTTTGCGCGTAGCGGCCCGGAACATCCAGTTCGTCGGCCGGAGTGTAGCGAGTGTTTTTGTTGTGCTTGCAAGTCCGAGCGACCAGCTAGTTTGGCGACTGTCTGCTTGTTTGGGTTAGAGGCGTCTCTAGTTCCGCGTGCGTCAGTGCTCCTAGTCGGGGATATTTAGTGTGGATTGTTGCGATTCCAGAAGAGGTTCTGTGGAGGGCTGGTGTCCTAACCTTTTTCTCGCTTTGCTGCCGTGCAGATGCCAAGAGGTTGATCGGAAGGCGGTTTAGCGATGCGTCTGTACAAAGTGACATGAAGTTGTGGCCTTTCAAGGTTACACCCGGGGCAGCCGACAAGCCCATGATTAGCGTGCAGTACAAGGGCGAAGAGAAGACCTTCGCTGCAGAGGAGATATCCTCCATGGTTCTGATTAAGATGAAGGAAATTGCCGAGGCCTACCTCGGTTCGACAATTAAGAATGCCGTGGTCACTGTTCCCGCGTACTTCAACGACTCTCAGAGGCAGGCCACCAAGGACGCCGGAGTGATTGCTGGGTTGAATGTGCTGCGTATCATCAATGAGCCAACCGCTGCCGCTATTGCGTACGGTTTGGACAAGAAAGCGTCATCCGTGGGGGAGAAAAACGTGTTGATCTTCGATCTCGGAGGCGGTACCTTTGATGTGTCCCTTTTGACCATCGAAGAAGGTATTTTTGAGGTAAAGGCCACTGCCGGAGATACTCACCTGGGAGGAGAGGACTTCGATAACAGGATGGTGAACCACTTCGTCCAGGAATTCAAGCGTAAATACAAGAAGGATATTAGCAGCAACCCCCGTGCGCTGAGGAGACTGAGAACCGCTGCTGAGAGGGCGAAGAGGACCCTCTCCTCAACTGCCCAGACCACGATCGAGATCGACTCTTTGTACGAGGGCGTGGACTTCTACTCTACCATCACTCGTGCCAGATTCGAGGAGTTGAACATGGACATGTTCAGGAAGTGCATGGAGCCAGTGGAGAAGTGCCTCAGGGATGCTAAGATGGACAAGTCATCCATCCACGATGTGGTGTTGGTCGGAGGATCGACCCGTATCCCCAAGGTGCAGCAATTGTTGCAAGACTTCTTCAACGGCAAGGAATTGTGCAAGTCCATCAACCCCGACGAGGCGGTGGCGTATGGAGCGGCGGTGCAGGCTGCCATATTGTCTGGAGAGGGTAACGAGAAGGTCCAGGATCTATTGCTCCTGGATGTCACTCCTCTGTCTTTGGGTCTGGAGACCGCAGGAGGGGTGATGACGGTATTGATTCCCAGGAATACGACGATCCCGACGAAGAAGGAGCAGGTGTTCTCTACCTACTCTGACAACCAGCCCGGAGTGTTGATCCAAGTGTACGAAGGAGAGAGGGCAAGAACGAGGGACAACAACTTGCTAGGAAAGTTTGAATTGTCCGGAATCCCCCCGGCTCCCCGTGGTGTGCCCCAGATCACAGTGTGCTTCGATATCGATGCAAACGGTATCTTGAACGTGTCGGCTGAGGACAAGACTACCGGGCAGAAGAATAAGATCACCATCACCAACGACAAGGGCCGTCTGTCGAAGGACGAAATCGAGAAGATGGTCCAGGAAGCCGAGAAGTACAAGTCTGAGGACGAGGACCACAAGAAGAAGATCGAGGCAAAGAATAGCCTTGAGAACTACGCCTATAACATGAGGAACACAATCAGGGACGACAAGATTGCAGCCAACTTGGATGCCGCTGACAAGAAAAAGATTGAGGACGCAGTCGAGGCTGCCATCCAATGGTTGGACCACAATCAATTGGCAGAGAGCGACGAATTCGAGGACAAGATGAAGGAGTTGGAGAGCGTTTGCAACCCCATCATCGCGCGCATGTACCAGGGAGGTGCAGGAGGTGCCGCGGGTGGTGCCCCCTCGTACGGAGGAGATGATGATGCTGCTCCGTCTGGTGCCGGCCCCAAGATTGAGGAGGTCGACTAATTTATAGATTGATTTTTGCACTATTGTGGTGCTTCTATTTGGTTGAGCTGTTTAATTCTTTTGCAGTGAAGCTGTTAGAAGGGATAGCCACCCCATTTTTTTTTTTCTTTTTTTTTTCTTTTTTTTCTTTTTCCCCTTTTTCCCTTTAGACGGCGCTAAATTCAGAAATTCTTGAGGAATTCAGCCACTTTCAAGGTTGTACGTTAACTGCCGAAGGAAATATACTGCGCTCGATTCTTGTAATCTTCGTTCCACACTCGTCGCGTGAAGCATGGATGGTAGTGTCGTTTGAGTTGTCAGTGATCCAGTGAAGATGATTCAAGTGCACCTCTGTCCGAACCGACCAATTGTATGTGACTCGAAAGTGCTTCAATTCAAGCACAGTTGGGTTGCGGATAACCCTGTATCATAATGTCGCTGCTCAGTGCTCCAAGGCGCTGATAATGTGCGCCAATTCAAGGATTTCAGCGCCGGTTTCAGCCCCTCTGGGAAAGTGCAGCTGTGTAGCGTCGAGATGACTGCTGCTTGCCGATGGAATTCTAGTATTTAGTGGATGTGCACCGTAGCGATGGGTACCTTGGTTTGGAGGGATTGTGTGTGGTTTGAATGTTGATTGCCTGCTTTGAATTCGTATGTCGCTCCTATCAATTTTAGGCTGGAGTTGGCTCTTGGTGCTGGACTGTTTTGTTTATTTTGAGATATGGCGGTATTTGTCCAAACTGTCGTTTATTTCTTTGGGGTTGGACTTTGCGGGTTACTGTTCGGCCTTCTGTGAAGTTGGGTTGGTTGTGGTAGTCTTTGGTTCAGTTGCTAGATTATGTTTGAATTTGTTAGCACGATAGATGGTTTGTTGTTCCAGTGCTCTCTTTAGTTGCTGTTTATGTTGGATCGTGTTGCATGCATTATCAGCTGGTTGGAGTCACGGTTGTGATTGTACATATCCTTGTGTGGAGTGGAGCTAGATTTTCATGTTTGATGTCGTGTGCAATGGGATTTGGTTTTTGTATGTTTGTTTACTTTTATTTGTGGAAAAGTGCTTCACCATTATATGTTGTCATCATCTGTTGTTTCTTTAAATATATATATATATATATATATATATTCTTTTTTTCTTACACGTTAAAAAGTGCTTTGTTATAATATTAATAATATCAAAGTGAGAAGAGTGTATGTACAGTTTATAATTTTTATTGAATAATACTTAATGCATCAATGTATTGAAGAAAATCAATATTAATTTAAAAATCTTAATACTTTACATCATTAAATTATGTAGAAAATTATTATAAATAGATATAATGTAGATGTTTATATATATATATATATATATATGATTCTTTAATACCTTTGAATCATTTAGGAAAATTGATTTATTTTATTTCATATATTTTTTGTTAAGTAAGAATTAATTTTAATCTTATTTAAGAATTACATATATTATAATACTAATTTATATACATATATATGATATATATATATATATATAAAAGATTATATATCCATTTATGTATATCTCTATTTATTTATGTAGTTGTTTGAAGATATGTAAATTGAGAGGCATATGCTATATTTATGTTATTAATTAGGATTTTTATTAAAGTTGTATTACAACTTAGTTTCACTAAAGGCCTCAGGCCTTGCAAAAGTGTTGTGTCAAGGTAATTTATAGCACACTTTGTCCAATTGCCACAACAAACAAGTTAGAATACCTAGAAATGATCCAATGTTTGTTCTCTATATGATCTATGAGCAAAGTTGCACAAATTAAAGAGGCTTTTTTTACACTTCTTTTCCAATTTTCTTCTTTCATTTGTAATATACCTTAGAATATGTACACAAATCCAATCCAATGACAAGAAAGAATCTTCCAAGTTATTACTTCTTTTCCAATTCTTCTTTGTTAATATTAGATTTAATATCTAAAATTCTCTTTACTAGTTGATTTAAACACTAAAATATTCGAATAATTGGTTTTATTTCTCTTTTGTTCAAAGAGGCGAGTTCAAATAACTCCAATCCACCTAACTTGGGCCCTAGGTTGTAGTAACAAGTAAACCATTGTCAAAATGTCATTTTCTTCTCTATCTCATAATCTTATCTTTTCTCTTGATTCTCCTTTTGAGATTTTATGATGAAGTTGAGTAGATTCTAAATTTCCTTTACAACTCAAAAAAGAGAGGAGTATGCTTATTTTATTTCTTAAAAACATTTTACACAAAGCATTTGAGTCCTACTTTGGTACTACAATAATAGTTTTATTTCAAGCAATAATTTTTGAAGTTTAATTAAAATAGATCTAAAATATGAATCTAAGGTATTTTTATTTCTATTGGTAATTCTTCAATACATACAACATTGGAATTGATTAAGAGAATCAAACAACAAATTTTTCTATTTTGAGTTAATAACTGTCTATTGTGAAATAGAATTGTAGTTGAAATTTACAACTTAATTAATAAATTAATTAGTTCTTATGATTTAGAACTCAGATTTGGGCTAGTGAACACTTGATCTCAAGATAAAAAGATGTTTAGAGACATTGGTGGTGTTAGTTTTACCAAAAAGATGTTAGTTTTTGAGTTCTAGGCATTCCCTGCCTTGAAATTGGGATTAGGCTGAGAGTTATTGAGGACCCTTGATCTTGGTAACGAATTTTCCGATTTTGATGGTGGAAATGTGTCTGCCACTTTTGGACCTCCTTCCACCTAGTTAAGAGTCTTGGGTGGCCAAGCTCCCTCTCTCTCTCCTTCTTCTTGTGGCGAAGTCATGGCAAAATGTCCCCCCATATTGTGAATGCAAATCTTCTTCTTTGAACTTGTATGGCCTCGGTTTTAACTCGCTTAGTCTAACTCTTTTATTTTATTTTTTTGAATTTTTTAAATTAAATTTCACTCACTCTTAGCTTTGTAACGGCATAAGGTATGCTTGATTTGAAGTTGTGACGAATTTTTGGAGAGTTTTCAAGGTGGCAGGGGTCTACTACCTTGGCAGAGTAGGAGCATCGGCTTAAAAAATCTATAACTCGGTGACTTCTTACTCAAATTTGATGTGGATTTTTAAAATGAACACATTCTAAAGTTGAGTTTACTAAAAAATTTAAATCACTAATTTCCAAGTTATATCAAAATTTTAATTAATTTTTAAATGTGAAGGAATCTGCTGGCTCAAGAGTTTTGAACATCTAGCTTTGAAAAAATTGTATCTTAGTACTTACCTATATTTTTGTGCTGGAATTGGTTGGAATATGAACTCTACTAAGTGTGGTTTCAGGAAAATTTATATTTGTCAATTTTAAACTATTGACTGATTTTTAGTGAATTTTTAAGTAGAAGAGGGTTTGCTGTCTAAGCAGCTCAAGTCACCTTGGTTTGAAAACACATATCTTAGACGTCAAACCTTGGATCACCCTGAAATTTGGTAGATAGGAGCAACTCTAAGTCAACCTTAATCACAAAAAATTTCAAGTGCATAAGAGCTGTAGGGGAATGTTGGAAATATTCCGAACTACAAGGCATGTGTTGCACTCAACTCAACATATTCTAAGTAAGTTTTCCTTCCCTAATTACCTTCTAATCACATCTTTTAGCACCTAAATTTCTATCTTATCACTTATTTGTCTTGTTCTCATTAATTGATATTATTTAATAATTTCAAAGAAATTTTTACCTCATTCTGGAAATTAATCTTAAATTCTTACCTTTCCATCTATTTTTATCCTTTAAGGATAAAATAAAAAATAAATTAAAAATTAATTTGATCTTTTAATTTTTTCTTGTTTCTTTTAATCTTAACCTTTAAATTTTTACTTTTAATTTTAATCCTTAAATTTTTACTTTTAATCTTCAACTTTTACTTCCATTACTTTTAAACTTTCACTTAATTTTTATTTATTAATTATAAATTTATCTTTTATTTTATCTTTTATTTTATCTTTTACTTTTTATTTTTAATTTTTGAATCTTTCAACTTTCATCTTTTATCTTAAAAATCTTAACGTCATGTTAGTGCTGAACTTAAATATTTAATGCTATTTATTATTAAATTTCTGATTCTAGATGAAGTTTTGTCATCAAAACTTCATTTGTAGATAACTTCCTATTTATATGGTTAATACTATCTTGGAAAGCACTAGACTAGCACTCTAGCATGAAATTCATTATTTTTTTATTTTATTTTATTCTAATTTATAATTTTTAGAGTTTAAGTTTGATGGAATAAGTCTTGGAAGGTACTTAACTAAATGAACTACAAATGCTAAAAATTAAATCATAAAAATGTGTAATTAATTTGTTATGTTGTTGGATTGATCTTGATTATTGTATCATATTGTTTTTCCTTTCTTATACATGATTTGTATCTCTACATCAATTAATATTGAGCTCTAATCTAAGTTATAATCTAATTAAATCAAATTCAAGAAAAGGGGAGAAAAATCCATTCATAGTTCTTATTCATAATAACATTCATAGCAAAGTTTAAGGCATTTGTTTTCTTAAAAAAATGCCTCAAAGAAATAAACATGATTAAAGGTTGGTGTAAAAATAAATGCTATCTTTAAGACTTCATAAGATGCTTTAGTTTCTTTACTCTATTCAAGTTTGTCTTTATAAGTTAAATGTATAAAAAGAGTTATAATTTGAAAAAAATTCTTAATAAATATTTGGTAATAATTGATAAATCTCAAAAAATATTATACATCTCTAATTGTTTTTAGATTTTTCTAATTTATGATAGTTTGAACTTTCTTAGGATCCATCATAAGGCCATCATTTCAAATGATGTATCTTAAAAAGTCAACTTGAGTAATTTGAAATATATACTTTTTTTTTATCTTGGCATATAATCATATATCTTTCAATTTTTATAATACACAACAAATATGAAGTTCATATTCTTTTGTATTCTTAGGAAAATATTATCTAGATAACAAATAATAAAATCATTAAGAAACTTACAAAAGACATCACTTATTAGATGTTAGAAAGTAGGTGGTGCATTTGTGAGTCCAAAAGGCATGACATTATATTTGAAATGCATATACATAGTTCAAAACATAATCTTTTATTCATCTTCTTCTTTAATGCATACTAAGTTGTATGCTCTTCATAGATCTATTCTTATATAAATCTTTATTTAATTAATTTTATTAAGAAATGATGAAATTAAAAGTAGAAGATAGCTATTTTTTATGGCGATCTTATTGAGTCCTCAATAGTCTACATATATCCGTAGAAATCAATCTTT